CAAAGACAAAACGTAGAAAATGGTGGCATACCCCTCGGCTTGCATGGCTGGTCTCCGGTGGTGAGATGTGCTGTTGACCCCGACTCCGCTCACCTCAAAAAGAGCCTGAGTCGCTGCTTAAATAGGGTTTTTTTAGCGTCCCTGGTGGCGCGCATCAGCCAGGCAAGCCGAGGATATTCAAATCAACATGTGGTTGCCTGAAGCCTGTCTCGCGACAATATCAGTTCACCCTGTGTACACACCACTTTCCGGCAAGCAGAGGCTACGCGCACACATGGTCTCAATTTTCGGCCTCTGGTCGTCCCGCGAAGTACCTCCGCTGTGTGCCTGCAGTCGTTTGCGCACGGGGCGCGAAGGAAACGAATCCTGCCTCGCGATGAAACTGTGGCAGCTTCTGGAAACGGGCGCGTTCTCTAAAACAGCCTTGACGCGCCAACGACTGCTCAAATTTTGGTGCCCTTTGTCTCCGGAGGACCGAAGCGGCGGCTCGTTCGTTTGAAGCGTGGGGGCTCAGTGGTTAGAAGAAGAAAGGCACCTAATTTCTGCAGTCTGGTCCAAAGCACGGCGCGGTGCCTGCCTTGGCGCGAAGCGCACAGTGACCGACCAGACTCGGCCCTTTCTGTTCACTCATTCTTCCTCAAGGCGGGCTCCCCGAGACAAGTTAAACGGCGCCGCTAGCAAGGGCATCTGGCAAAGAACAAGCTCCAGCTGTAGCTGAAAAAGAACAAAGTTTTCAGCGAGACGTTGCCCTCGCGACACCTCCCCCCTACGAAAAAGAGTGTCCCACTTGTTTCATCTGCAAAACACGACAAGAAATAGACTAATTATACAAAAAGGTTTTGCATTCAACAAGTGTGTGAGATGCTTATTTAAAGACACTTATGCATGTGCATAAAAGGTGAGAAGCTTCACAAAAATTACATAAAAACAACAGATGAAAAAACAAAACAAAATCATTGGGCACAGAAATATATAGGTTCACTCGTCGGTACTGCAATACAACTCAGTGTCCGTGTCGTAAGCGCTGACATTCTGTTGTGCGTTGTTACCACTTGAAAATGTCTTCCAGTCGGAGTAAAGTTCAGTGTCCATGTCGTAGCCTTCGCACTGCTGTACTGGAACACTGGTCTGTGTCCCGCGCACACAATGTTGCAAACGGAGTTTTTGACCCACTCGCGAACCGCACTCGCGCACATCACCATTGGAGCCGCACTCGCGCACAACACTTTGATAGAATCCTTGTTCATCGCTCGTTGCACTGTTCCCGAGCACAACACTTCGATGCAATCTGTGGTCATCTCTCCTTGCACTGCACTCGCGCACATCACCACCTAGATCGCACACCTCATGATTATCATCAGACCCATCGTCCGCGTCGTCGGCATCGGGGCCCAATCGAACATGGCAGGGCTTTAAACGGGCCACATTCACAACGTCACGTTTTTTCCCAGTTTGGTCTACCACCTCCCAGTTGTTCTCGGCTACCCGGCGCACAAGACGGAAAGGTCCGTGATATTTGTGAAGAAGCTTCGTCGTCTTCTCTTTCACACTGGAGGGAGTCCACAAGTGCACCAAGTCGCCCTGATGATAAACAACACTTCGTCGCCTAGCATCATAGCTGCGTTTGTTCTTCTCCTGGTGACGCTTCTCCCTTTCACTTACTATTTTTCGAGCCTGCCGCAGCCTGCGAGCCACTTTCATTGCATCCAGGGTGTAGTCAAATCCACGTTGCGCACCCGACCCTACATCCACCGGTAGTGTCGGTTCATGTCCGTGAAGAAGAAAGAAGGGAGTGAATCCAGTCGTCTCGTGGGTGGAAGAATTGTATGCAAAAAGAACGTACGGTAGAAATTCATCCCAGTCGCGGTGGTGTGAGGAAACGTACATGCTGAGCATGTCAGCCAACGTGCGGTTAAAACGCTCGCACAAGCCGTTGGCCTGTGGGTGGTATGCTGTTGTGGTGGCATGCTCGCTACCCATGAGCCGGAATATTTCTTCGGTCAAGTTGTCGACAAAGTGCTGCCCACGATCACTTATTACTTTCCCCGGGGCACCATGACGTAGGACAATTTGTTCGACGAAAGCTCTTGCTGCTTCTGCGGCAGTGGCCGCTGGACACGCGACAGCCTCGACCTATTTCGTATGGTAGTCGGTAATCACGACGATGTAGCGGTTCCGTGCTTTGGATTTAGTGAAAGGTCCATTAAAGTCCATGCCCACCTGCTGAAAAGGCCGGCCTGCAGGTGGGATCGGTTGGAGCAAAACCGACCGGCCTCCCTGGTGGTTGCTTTCGTGCCTGGTTGCTTTCGTGCCAGTCGGGGCAGGAGAGAACCTACTTGCTTACGTACGAGAACATCTTTGGCCAGAAATATCGGCAATGAACTTTCTCCCATGTGCGCTTGACACCTAAGTGGGCTGCCATGGTGTCGTCATGGCAGTACTTTACAATCTCAGATCTCAAGCACTTGGGGACAACGAGCGCCGCACGATCATCCTGAAACCCTTTCGCTCTTCAATACAGTACACCGTCGATCAACCGAAAGCTCCGTGCCGTTCTTTTAGTTCTCCTGACAACAGGCACACCCGAGTGCTCGAGGTGCTGCATAATTTCTTTCATCCATGCGTCTGCCCTCTGCTTTTTTCCAACATCCACCTGATCTAGAACCAGCAACGGTAAGGGGTTTTATTCGCTTACAGGCGCGGAATCATGAGGAAGGCGGGAAAGCGTGTCGGCATTTCCATTCTTGAGGCCAGGGTGGTGTCGCAACGTTATGTCGAACTTCTGAAGCAACAGGGACCATCGCATAAGACGACTGTTCGGATTCCTTACTTTCATTAGCCAAGCCAGGCTGGCTTGATCAGTCACGACCGTGAACTTAGCACCAAAGACGTATGGCCGAAACTATCCGCAGGCGTACACAACGGCGAGACAATCTTTCTCAGTTGTACTGTAGTTCATCTCAGCCTTGTTAATGTGGCGGCTGGCATAGGCGACGACTCTCTCTCGAGTTCCAATTTTCTGTACAAGCACGGCGCCAATGCCGTAATCACAGGCATCAGTGTGCACCTCTATCGGCTTTCCCGGCTCAAAGTGACGCAGAATTGGGGCTGTGATCAGCTTCTTTTTGAGGGATTGCAAGGCCACTTCGCATGCCGCATGCCAGATGAAAGGAACATCCTTTTTGGTTAAGTTGGTCACAGGTCGAGAAATACGAGAGAAATCTTTTATGAATCGCCGATAGTAGTTACAGATTCCGAGAAAGCTCTGTACACCTTTCCTGTTCCGTGGCTTGGAGAATTTTTCGATCGCTGCTACTTTGTCTGGGTCCGGCCGGATGCTTTCACCTGTGAGAATTTCTCCAAGATATTTGATCTCCTGGCGGGCGAAGCTGCATTTCTTGGACTTCAGTCATAAGTTTGCCGCGTCCAAAGCCATAAACACACTTTCCAAATCCTGCAAATCAGTTGCCATAGTCTTCGAGAAAATAAATATGTCGTCTAAGTAGGCCAAACAAACTCTCCAGAGAAGACCACTGAGTACTTTGTTAATCATTCTCTGGAATGTGGCGGGGGCGTTGCACAGGCCGAAAGGGACAACATTGAATTCGTACAGGCCGGGTCCACAGGCAAATGCGGTCTTTTGCTTATCTTCCTCCTTGATGCCCACTTGCCAGTAGCCTGATGTTAGATCAAGTGTGGTGAAGTATTTTGACCCCTGTAGCGCGTCGAGGATGTCATCAATTCGTGGCAGTCTTTTTAATAACCTCATTGACTCTGCGGAAATCGACGCAGAAACGCCAAGTCCCATTTGGCTTCTTCACGAGGACGACAGGTGATGACCAAGGACTGTGAGACTCTCTAATTATCCCATCGCGCAGCATTCCTTCTACTTGTTGCTCAATCTGTTGCCTTTCAAAAGGGAAATGACGATATGGGTGCTGATGAATTGGTCGAGAATCGCCTGTGTCAATCACATGTTCAGCGACATGAGTCTGCCAGATGGGGTTGTCACTGCTCGTAAATAGATGGTGGTACTTCTCAATGAGTGACAGCAGCTCATCCCGTTCAGGTGGCTGTAGGTGATCCCCAGTCTCTATGTCAAACTCTTGAGGCACTCGATCATTCTTGGGGGCAATGATTGGCAGCTGTGCTTCATGAATAGATGCAGCCCATCCAAGCTTTATTCCGCTGAGCAGGTTTACTGGCGACATGGTAGGATTAGCTATGCGAATGAGGCCTCTCCCATGCACGATCCTCGTTATTGTGCGTGCAACCTGAAGTCCGTTTCTGAGCGTGCTGTTCGGTTAGACGAGGAGAATTCCGTCCCTTGGGACCTTTACTTCAATAGCGACTTCTGTGCGAGGTTCAATGCGAATTTTCTCGTGGCACCGCACTCTAAGTACATTATTATGTTCGGGGGCACTTGAGTCTATACGCAGCCGGAAACTTTCACCGTTTAGTTGCAGCTCTTTCTTGGAGAAATCAATGAGAAGCCGGGCTACTTGACAAAAAGGAAGACCACCGAGTAGCTCGTATGGGCAATCGTTGATCCCTAAAAACGTCTCGTGAACTTCGGTGGTGCCAAATTCAAGTTTTATTTGAGCTTCACCATTGGGGGTGAGCAAGCCTCCGCCAATTCCTCGGATGAATATGTCTTTTCTCGATTTCGATGAAGTACATATTTTGTTAGCTAACTCTTCTAACTACTTACATCACCTAGCTAACTACTTACATCACCGAAAAAAAAGTGTAATAGAAATTTCAGACACTCAAGCAAAATTCAAAAACAGAATTGTATCGCTTAACATCTTGCAATATCCAATGATGGTCTATTAAATACAGCCGTCCACTACCCATTAACCGTCATTCTTTGAAAGTCTACAAAGCGTCTCCAAAGGTATGCGCGGAGATTTCTTTTATTTCCGCCAGATTAGAAAACAATAACGGCAAACGTGTCCCAGTGGATGTCAAGATCAAAAAAAGATAATTAATTATTGTAGATGTACCGTGAAAATGGTAGTGCTTTGCAGGAGCAGGTATTGTTTCTTTGAAAGATACGCTGCTACTTTGTCAGTAACAAACGTACAACTTTGACACAAGAAACTTAAAAGAACTGAGCTTGTGTTCATTTTCATCTACCCACATTTTGTCTGTTACTTATTGAACCTGCAAACTACTCAATCAATACCAATGCGCACATATCTTTTAAATTGTGGATTAAGTGAGCCTAGCATAACAGCTGAAAGTTATTGAGTGAAATTAAACGGTTTCGTTCTGCGTGTGTATTTCTTCGTAGCAGCGTTTCTTTCTCATTTCATTTGTTGGAACATCTCTATGATATATTTGCTCAAGAACCCTTTTTTTCTCTCTGTCTTCTGAAGGAATGATGCAACAGCTCTTCCCCTCAAGAATCTTGCGCGCACTCCTGCGCAGATTGGAGCCAACGTTCTGCTGGTCGATTGGCGCCGGGGAGCCGCCGCACCCGTGTACTCTGTTGCCGCCTCCAACACGCCCGCAGTGGGCGCTGAACTTTCAGTTGTGTTGCAGCGGCTGATGCGAAACAACTCCAACCTGATGCCCCATGATGTCCACATCATAGGCTTCAGCCTCGGGGCTCACGTGGCTGGTTTCTGCGGCAGGCACTTCCTGATGCACACCAGGAAGAGGATCGGACGCATTACCGGTGGGATACCCTTTTACAGACGAGTCTTTGTTTGGGTTCTTCAATGCAGAAATTTCAATCTGTCTGTCTGTCTGTCTGTCTGTCTGTCTGTCTGTCTGTCTGTCTGTCTGTCTGTCTGTCTGTCTGTCTGTCTGTCTGTCTGTCTGTCTGTCTGTCTGTCTGTCTGTCTGTCTTTAAATTTAACCAACCAATGAAAGTTTAAGTTTTCCCTCAATGCTCAGCCAGTTGGATCTGGTGACTGCTTTCATAATTTTAAACATCATCGACCAAAAGGAAATAGTACAGATGTATGGGGCGCAACATCACAACGTAAGCATTAGGTGGCGCACTTCTTTACAAATATGCATACATACGTAGTTCTAAAGAACCTAGTGTCTAACACTGCGCTGGCAATGAGACGCTAAGCACGAAAAAGCGGGTGTTTTCTACGTTTCGCTAGGATGATACGGTGCTGCCACCTACCAATAGATGTGCGTTTTACACAAGCTTCCATTTCCCGACATTACGGCGCTCATACCTCAAGCAGTGTTTTTAACGCAGAAGACAATTTTCTTTTGACGACCTCCGCAGGTCAGCACGCAGATACACGACCAGTCTTCTCTGAGCTCTCACAACGTTTATTTTGCCTGAATGTTCTGCAATCATTCATGCGCAGTCTTCTGCCATTATGATCTCTTACCAAATTATGTGTAGAGAAATAGGGGCTGAAAACAAACTCATAGGGCTCCTTATGCATTAACCAGACACTACTCGAAACGAAGGCAATCATTTTTTTCTTGTAAGTGAGTGTACTGCCCCCCTCCTCAAGCTATCTGCACCTAATGCGAATATGCATAGCTTCGATATTTGGAAGCAGCACACTTAGTTTAGCACTGCCTTTCCGATCAGCACATCGCTTACCAAGCTGAGATACATGTCATGACGTCATATATTGAAGCTTTCATCTTACAATTTCTATGCTAAGCTTTTTCCTATAACAACGGGGTGAAGAATTTTCCGGACCCGAATAAAGTTAACTATTATCTATCTAGGCTTTTTCCACACGCATGACACCACGCACCACAGTAAATTTAGTCTGTAACCTTCCGTGCTTACTGCATACAGCAAGTGTTTCTTGAGCCATACACGTCGGTTTTAGTATGCGTTTGCAGTTCACCAATACTACAAGGTAAAAATGTTTACACAGAACATACTGGTTCACACAGTAATACCTAGAGGGTAATCTAGCACTACTGTATACTCGGGCTCCTTCAGCGGTGCTTCTACCCCCAAGAAATTTTTGGAAGTACAGGCTTCGGATCCGCTTCAGATCCACTTCGGATAAAATACACTCTTGAGGTAGGCGATGCTTTTTTTTCCGAGTGTAAACCACGGTGATATGAACTTATATTTAAGTTAAACTTGCTTCATTTATTTGTACGCAAGCTTTATTGCAAAAAGTTTTCGTGACGAGGCGGCAAAAGTGAAACTTGGGCACATTCACCCATCAGAATATGCATTGCTCTGCCATGGCGTTCCATATTTGGCATCAAGATTTAATGAATAATTTTTTACAACAGTAGAAAACAAGTATGCTTGTTTTTCTCTCAAATGTACGCATTAAGTAATTATGGAAATAACAGTACAGTACTAATTGAGAAACACTTAACGTTTCGTCTTTTGCAATGCTAGGTGCGTTTTCCCAAGTGGTCTGCCCCCAACGCACCACTGGTTTATTGTGAAATCGAGTCAGCGGAGCTTGACGGTGCGTCTACTTAGCTTCGTCATCGCTGTGCAGTCGATTTAAAACGAGTTTAGGCAAGACGCGCCTCTAAAAAGAAAAACATAAAATTGGTGAATTATCATGCAACGACATGAGATGCTACATCTATGTGGAGCGGTGAGTTGACGACGCTTTGTTTAAATTGTCGAATACGACTCGTAAAGCTTCAACGTTGCAGCAAACTTCAGACCTGGAGGTTTTAAGCCTCTTTGAACAACAATGGCGCTGCTTCAGTGCTTTTCACCGCAACCCACTGCCCGCCTGTGCGAAGAATGGCACTGAAACAGTAAAAAAATATGTCTGTAGACAGTTCACTAGCTAACCTTATCCAATCGTAAGCCCCTACTTCCCATAACTTCCATGGAGGTACACGATCGCAGCACCAGATTCCTCTCTAGGTATTATTGTATGAAACTCTGACTCAGAACAACAAAAAACAAGAAGATTCAGAAATACGTTTATTTCTCTGAGAGCAATAACTGCATTTTTTTTCTCTTGCTCTCTGCTTTGAGCCCGCTAGCTTTCACAAATTTATTAGTTCCTATAGAAATATTAGCTTTGTGGCGTCCTTGAAGCACACAAGGCCTCGTGATAAAAAGAATAATTTACTCACACATGCCACACAGGCTACTAAACGCCTCACAGACCAAACACTTCACGAGTGTCTCTCAGTCACGTCGTTCTCTTCCTTCACTATCTACCGAAAGGGCAAGTGCATTTCTGACATTCGGCCATCCTGCAATGCTTAACATCCTCGTTAAAGCTGTCCCGAAAATTTTCTTGTGACTTAACGTACAAATCTTCGGCCATCCTCTTATATGAAATATTTAGTCAATGACACACGCAAGAAAAAAGATAAAAAGAAACAGAAACACCACAAAGAAAATAGCAGTATCTATACACTGGCGTCTTAAGTTGTTCACGCCACCCAGAAGTTCGCCCGTTCGAAGCGTGAAACTTTCAAGGTGATGTACTTTCCGGCCATAATAATTTATTGAATATGCAACGTTTTAGGGAGATGGCTCAATGCTCCCTCATAGTTGAGTAGGAAGCGCTCGCAGTCGTTAAACATTTTTTCTAAACACATCTTCAGTGGCTTGATCTTGAGGAAAACCACAACGTGCAGAATGCCTGTATCTTTTTTTCTACACTTTTTGGTCTCGACGCTTGCTCCGGCTCGTGCTTCGTCTTTTCGCCCGTCTCTGGCGAATCTCCCTGGGGATTTGCTCTGGCATTTCATCAGTTCTTCGTGCCGTCTGGTTCTGTTGGCTTCAACTGCTTCGGCTCACTATCTTCATTCGGGTTGGTCCAAGGCACTTTGTTATTATTTCTATCTGTTCTCGGGCACTTTTCACAAATTCTTCTAGTAGCTTGTCTTGTGCAACTTTGCTGTCCTCTTGCTTATCCCTATTTGTGGCATTTTGTTCGTTGACTGCTTCTTCATCTTCTTTTTTGTTCTTTCCTTCGGTTTTGTCGTCTTGGCTTGGATGGCTGTTCGGTGTTTTGCCTCGTGCAACCTTGCAGTCCTCCTGCTTATCCATATGTGTCGCCTTCTGTCTCTGGGCTGCTGCTTCGTCTGCTTCCTTCCTTTCTTCTTTACTGCCTTTTACTGTTGCTTCTTTCTCCATTCGGTATTTTTCCTCGCTGTCCTTTTCCGTAGCACCGAGTTGGGAGTTTGCCTGCTTTTTCTTGCCCTCACCTTCAGCTTCATTCCTGCCTTTCGCCTTTCCGTTGGCTCCGATAAACGTCATCGGCTTCAGATCTTCTCCCTCTTTGTTGTCTGCGCTTTGCTGTCTCCGAAATTCTCGACATGTGGCGGGGCATGTTTGAAAAACGGGACCATGTTTCCTGTGAAGGTCGCTTCAGGCACGACTTCTAGTTCTTTAGATTCGAGACGTCGTCTGCTTCCGCCGGAGCACTTCCTATTGAGAGCAGACGTTGGCCTGTCACGTAGACGTCGGTCTCAGGTGTAGCGTGCTGGTCAACGGGTGGCAATGGTTGGTGTCGTTCCGCTCCTTGGTTTGCGTCGGTTGTCAATTTTTTGTCGTTGTAGCAGGCAGGCAGCGTTCTGAACCTGAAGGTGGTTTTAGGCTTCGGTTGCGTGTGTTGAAAACCTGTTGTCATTCCAGTTTGATGCGTTCGTGCTCCAATGTGTCGCGCAGCGGGTCGGCGTCATCTTGATGCGTCCGGCCCAAGAGCATGATGCAGAATTCGGGTGACCTCAGCCCCGATAGAACTTGCTCTCACGGATAGTTGTCCAGGCTGAGTTCGTGGCAAAGAGGCAGCTTAGAGAGGAAGTAGGCGGCCGTGATCTCATTACGCTGCTGCACGCACTCTAGCATCCTGCGCCACCGTTCTGGAACGCGAGTCTGGCTGACGAAGGTCTGAAGGAAGCGTGCCTCCACCTCCTCCCATGACGCCATCTGGGAACTCCTCGAACGGTACCAGTCTTTGGCAGCTCCTATCAATTGCGCCTGGGCTGTTTTCACGGTGTCGCTGCTGGCCACGCGGGAAGGTTAGATGTTCGACGATTATTCTAGATCCACTCGCGCGCCGAACGAGTGTCTTCGGAGCCGGCGAAAACGCCGATGTTGTGGCTGAAGTCAGGAATTACCTGAAACGTTGCCGCTGGCTGAGGTTGCGCCCGTAGAGTCAGTAGTCCCAGCAGGGTCAATAGTAGACGGTCCTTTTAAATGCGAAGCATTTCTTTGCGAACTTCGGCGACTGTGAAAGTGTCTATCTATCTATCTATCTATCTTTCTATCTATCTATCTAACTATCTATCTAACTATCTATCTATCTATCTATCTATCTATCTATCTATGGATCTATCTATCTAGCCGCCTACGACTTTTCGCACTTCTGGCCGTTTCGATAATGGCATCGATACAAAACTTGGTATGACATAACATGACTGTATCAAGAACATATTTCACTAGTCATACTATGAAAATCAAGATATATGTATGTCATGAAAGTCATAATTTACATTTATGGTCCTGCTGCTCTAGCGGTGGCTTCGTTCACATGATATATTGCAAAACTGGTAAGGTATGACGTGATTGCATGCTGAACACAAGAGGCAGACCCTGACATCAAAATTATGACATGCTTGTCATGTAACATCATTACTACATGCCAAGCTCATTATGCACTCGCGGCCGTTTCGCTAGCGTCACATATACCAAATTGGGTATTATGGTACGTGAATGAATGTTGAAGGTATGAGACTGGTGCG